CTAGTGCCATGGCCAAGAAAATGTGGATCTATACATCCACTCCCCCATACGCCTTCATGGCGTAGTGTTTAATCGGTTAAGCACAAAGACAACTATCTTTTTTACATCTACAAATTAGGAGCCGGGATAGTGATGGATTACGGGCTGGACGACCGGGGTTAGATTCCCGGCAGGGACAAGAGTGGTTTCTCTGTCTCTACCCCTGGAGGGTAGCGCAGCAGGGGAGTGAAGGTGTACCTCCCGATACGTCTTCGTGGCTTGATGCTTAGCTGATGAATTAATTAAGCGTAGGGTCGACTTTTTTTTTTTCCTTGGCACTACAGCCCCAGTGGGCCTAGGCCTACCTCCATGAACTTCTCCGTTCACTTCGGTTTTTCTAGATCTTACACATTCGGTAGGACTCCTAGGGCGAGTGATCAGCTCGTCGCAAGGCCTCTACCTGTACACAAGCACAGAAAAACGCACACACACAAACTAAACATCCATGCCCTGAGTGGGATTCGAACCCACGATCCCGGTATCCAAGCGAGCGAAGACAGTACATGCCTTAGACCGCTCGTCTACCGTGACGGGCCTTTACATTTACTTCAACAAGTTAGTTTTAGAGTCCGTATATGTAAGCATCTTAGCATCTAAATTCAGTCAAAGTAGAAAGTTTCGGAGTGAAATACAGAATTTGTCTTGCAAAGGGAGACCGGAGGATGTTTTTCAGTTCACTGTCTTCTTCTGCTGTGTCCGTCTTCCTTTTCCTTAAATTAGCTGGACTGAATCCAGAGAAGTTGCCATCCTTTGTGGATTGGACCTTCTGACCTTTTCCGATACAGAAATCACGTACAAACTATAACTTAAACATTTTCTCATCCCTTCACGTAATAACGATACTTTTATAAAGGATGCTGATGAAGTCGCTAATTCATTGAAATAAGAACTTAGAATTTTTGGGGGGGAAATGATTGATAAGCAGTGCACAGGATTGTAGTTATGTAAGCCAGAAACCAGAGAAGAGTTCGATATACAATTTCACAAGACTGTACCTGCCGACAGATCGATTCATGATATGCAAAATGCTCGTGATGGATGCTATGTCTTACACTGGCGTCATTGGATACTGAGTATTATCCAGTACCATTAGTAAGGTATTGTTGAATATACTACGTAACCTGAGCCGGGATAGCCCAGTCGGTATAGCAACTGGCAACGGGCTCGACGACCAGGGGTCAGAGTTCGAGTCTCGGTGAGGGTAACAACTTTCACTTCTCCATGTCGTCCAGACCGGCTCTGGGACCCATCCAGCCTCCTATCCAGCGGGTACCGGGGCTAACGCGGCCTGTGCGTGAAGCTGACCACTCACCAACTAGTGCCGAGGTCAAGAAAGCGTAAATCTACCTACATCCACTCCCCCATACGTCTTCTTGGCATAGTGCTTAATTATTTAAGCAGAGGAAAAACTGTAGCTTACCATATATTCAACGTTTTCGCGTACTTTAGGTTGCTTTAATGTGACAAGAAAGGTATTTCAACTATGAGTATTAAAGAATTAAATACTGGAGAAAATTACGTGACGGAAAGCCGTATAATATGTTAACGTCTATAAAATTAAGAAAGGAAGGTTAATTGGTCGGGACATTTCATTTAGTAGCTTGAATCCAATAGCTCAAGGGGATCATACGGATTTGATACAGATTTGATTGGTTCAGGATGGTGTGCAGTGTGGACACGCAACAAGCCCTGAGCTCCATAAAGTAGAAGGAATGTTATTAATAGCTGAGCGTCTGTTTCTGTGCTGTAGTTTGTTGGTTTATTTTTAAGGAAAGCTGAAGCATTCATTACGCGTAGGCATGGTTGGCTGTAGTGATTGGCTACAGGATTCTGTTCCTGGCAGGAACAGGCCACCACGTCCAGAAAAGTTCTGGGGCCCACCAAGTCTCTCCTGTCTACCGGGGTTGTTCATGTAGCCGGAGCGTGTAGCTGATATCACGCCGAAGTTAAGAATTAATGGAGGAGTGTTTTCTTTCTTCCTGCATCCTGTTCTGAGAGTCAGGCTGCTTTCATGCCTCTGTTTGGTGCCAGTGTCTGGAATGCGTATCTCCATTTCGTCCTTACAAAGGAAAGTTTCATTATGCCGCGACTTATGTCTTAAATATGTTCATTATGTTGTGAAGCCATGTATAGCTGACCCATGTGTGTGCTGTGCGGGTGGTTGAGTGGATACATTCGTATGAATATCAGTTGAACACATACCTAAGCCCTTGTAAAAACCTAATTCGATGTAATTTGAAACCAACAGAAAAACCCGGGAACGATCCGAACTCCAGAGGAAGACAGGGGAAGAGAGAATTTCACAATGGACCTATTTGTGAACGCAGGGAAGTCTGGAGTCATATCTCGTCACATCTCCAGCCTGTGCGGCGAGGCAACAGATGCCACCTACACGAGGGAGGCAGATATCAAGATGTGGGCTGCGCAGCCTGGTAAGTGCGAAGGACAAACAAATGTATGGCGTCAGTAAGAATATCTTTCATGTTGCGTGACATGAGGCGTTACATTGTCGTTAGAAGGGTACTAGATGCTATTTTCAACATGCTACAGGAACCAGAATCGCAAAGTTGCCCGCTCATGGCATGATGTGACCTTAAATATGTCTGAGTCAACAGTGTTTATTTAAGTTCCAGTGTAATTCCCGCCGAAAAGCCTGTTTTCTGTGTCCCCCTCCCCCGTCGGTGCTAGCGGTTACTATTTCACTTACTAGAAGTGGCACAGAATATTTTTTTTATTTTCTCAGAACTGAAAGGAATTAGTGTCATTTTCAATATTTTCCATTGGTGTTCTGTGGTCAGCGTTCCTGGCTACAGATCCAGAGGTCCGGGTTCGATTCCCGACGCTACCAGATTTTTTCTGAGAAGTAGTGTGTCTGGAACGGAGCCCACTCAGCCTCGTGATGATAATTGAGGAGCTATTTCAAAGAAATAGCGGCTCCGGTCTAGAAAACCGAAATTAACGGCCGTCGGGATTCGTTGCGCTGACCACGCGACACCCTCTATCCGCAAAAGTTGGCACTAAACTTCGCCGTCGAGCGGCGGTCGCTCGGTCGCTATAGTTCGCTTGTGGACTAAAATCACGGAGTTTCTTTTGTTTGTTATGCTGTTTTAAATGGATAATTCTGTGTACAGACATTTGTTGGGCCCGAGGCTGTCGCATTGGTTTCTATGCAAAGTTGCTGCTTGCTTGTCTTATTATTCGAGCTTGAAGATTAAGGCGACACGTTCCTCCCGAAACGTCAGCTGACTTTCAGTGGACTACACGGCGTTACGTTCCACAAGATATAATTCTCCATAACCATCTCTTGTCAGAAGCTCAAATCCTACATATGAAACCGGTGGTTCTGACTTTGTCAGCCAGCATGATCTTCTAACGAAACATTCAGGGCTTCGTTAGGTGTATGGGACTGCCATAAGGGGCTTCTCTCCCCATTTTGGCACCGTGCCTTTAGGGTGGGAACCCGTCCGGCCAGGAATGTGCCCTCCCGGATCAGCCTCGCTTTGGAAACCGTAACGTTGCCCTGTACAAGGGCGGATCGTCACGAAGTAAAAGGCTGCAGACATTTCTTGGGACTCGAGCTGAGGCAGCGGCCTAGACTAGACGCTGAATTGGCATTGTTTCCATAAATAAGCTAGTTAACTTCGGCCTAAACTTGTTGGATGAAGATGAGTTTTGTACCATGTTAATTGGGCTCTTGATGGCCAGTTAGTAAAGTTAGTTAACTGTTTATAATTTATTCAGAGCGAAACAGCGAGTTACCGTTTCCTCACAACCTCACGTAGAACACTTCAGTCGTGAATCCTCACCGTCCTGGTTTCTCTTCGGTCCTGAGATCTTATGACCTCGACCTGACCTATTTCGAAAACAGTTAATCCCATTGCCCTAAAACCTTGGAATCTTCGGTAAATCATCGCTGCTGCCACCTGGCACCTATGTTGGTAAACGTCAGTTGCTGCCGAGCCTAATCAGCGAATATAAGAAGGCAACCGAGTTTCACCGGGGGTAGCAGGGAATGGGATGAACTTGTAGAAGTTGGTGAACCCATTGTTCTCTGCTACTGGTGGCAGTTGGTTCTGTTACAGTCCTATACGCAGGGGGTTATAATATAGTGTGTTTAATAAATTTGTTTAGCTGTTAGCTCGAAATAAACAAAAGAGAGCCGCGATAGCTCAGTCGGTATAGCGACGGGCTTAGGACTGAACATCGTGGGTTCGATTCCCGGTAGTGTAATCTAAATGGATGGCCGCGTTTTTTTTTTGTTTCATTTACGTAGGCGGCCAGTTATTTTGAATTGCTTCCCAGCATATATGTACTCGTATTTCAGAGCAGTATGAAGTTAGTTGAAATTACTTTTATATTTCTGTTTTAGCTGTGGAATTGTTGTTTGTATCCTTGACATTTACGAGTATGTATGCATGTATTCATAATACGTTTAACGACGTTTAGTATCTGAGATTAGATCCACATAGCCTTGAATTGCAGGACGTATAGTAGTGAACAAGAAATGATGTGGAAGGAAGTTTTCGTGGATGAACTTAGATCCTGTCTGGGTTTGCCTAACCTCAGGATAGCCGTTCTCCGGGCCGAGGTTTGGACCCAGGACGTCTGGAATACGAGGCAGAAATGCTTCCCACTCATCGACGACGATCAGTTTGTAACCGTGGTAAAAGTGGAGGGTGTGTTGTAAAACGACCTTTAATGACACATTTTCCTATTCGTTATGTCCTTGAATATGTCTATAAGTTCTGTATTGAATATTGATTACACAGTTCGAGTACTGTACACGCTGGACTTTTACATTAATAATGCAGACTGCAACTTCCGCTTTGCTGCGGACCTGATATAAAAAGCGTATATTACCAAATCGAATAACAGTTCTGATAGAACATGTTGACCTAGAATGTTTAACTGTTTACATTGTACCCATTTTTCATGCTGCGGTCCTCGTTTCTAGGCATAACCGTTGCGAAATAAAATTACTGTCCTGATAAAGTTGTTATCTCTCTTTGTTATTGCTGATGTTTAAACTAATGTGGGGTTTTTATACGCGAGCATAATGCGCCTCCCCTCTGTGTTTTATGTGCTAGCTTTGTTCACTGACGTTGCTGTTTTGTTAGGGATGTCAGGTCATATCGATAAATCGATACAATGTCAGGAAGAAAAAATTTCCATAGACCTATCGATAGAGATTCAGCGTAATGTGTTAATAAGAACGACAATTGCCAATGAAAATTATATATATTATTATATTATTATTATTATTTATTATACTGCAATTGGGTTTTAGCCCGGTGGCAGTAGTACACAATAGGACACAACAGGCAAGTAACACACATTACACTAAGTGACAACACGTTCAAACAAAACACAACAATAAGGACATCCTACCACAGTGAGTACAAACCAAATACGATTAACAACTACAACAATTACAGAGAAATACAAACAACTGCAACAAATACAACAACAACAAGGACATCCTACCACAATGAATACAAACCAAATACGACTTACATAATGTTATGAGCGGCTTTAACCGTTAAGAGCACAATGTTGCCACATGCTCTAATTTTCAAGATCTCTGCATGTTGCTTATGATTCTCATAAGGAACAGCTGTTACTTCCATAATAGCTGATGCACAATAGATCACTGTAGGTCGCGGTGCAAGGGCCGAGAAGGCCCATTTCATAATGACTGGGATAGCTCAGTCGGTATAAAGGCGGGCTACAGAATGGGCGGCCGGGGTTCAGTTCAGGTAAGGCACGGTACTTTTATTTATTCCCCAGCGTCCATACTGACACTGGGGCTTACCCAGCCTCGGGCTACGGAATGGGCGCCCGGGGTTCAGTTCAGGTAGGGGCACGGTACTTTTATTTATTCCGCAGCGTCCATACTGACTCTGGGGCTTACCCAGCCTCCTATCAAATGAGTATGGATGCTCTTTCCCAGGGGGTAATGCAGCCGGAGCGCAAAACTGACAAGTCACCTCCATCTAGATCCGAGGTCAAGAATGATGGCGCTCTACCTCCACTCCCCCCCCCAAGACTTCATGGCATACAGCTTAATTAATTAAGCACAAGGACAGCTTTACTTTTAATACGTTAACCGATTTTACTTTGTAATGCTACAGAGTGCTGTTCTGTTTTACGAACTGAATTTGCAGACATTATTTAGATGATAATAAGGCCTGTGTTAATTGTATGGGTAAGGTAAATAAGAAAAAGGTAAAGCTATTCCTGCAACAGGTTATGGAGGCCCATAGGGTTGTTAGACGTCAAGGCTTCCACATTATGTAGATATTTGGCTCATAGATGACGGTGAGATTGTCAGCCTGCCGCCCTTTACCTATAGAAAGATTCCTGGTACCTTCCGGCTTGTAGTATAGTGCCTCAACCAAGTACGTTATCGCGTGCCACAATTATATAGGTAAGAAATGTTTAAATCGCCCTAAACTAAGGATGCTGTAGCGGGATGAATATTTCTGATATCGACACAGATTTCGTTCTCTTTCTTCAGAGCATTGTGAAGCCATTAAGCGCTGTGTGCAGTAAAATGAAGCATGTCAGTGCAGCAGATACGAGAGACTTGCTTTGGAATATAAAAGAGATTGGGGAAGAGTCTGCAGCAATAAGTAGCGAAGATTCGTGTTCAGTGGGTTGAGACTACTTAGCTGAGTGCGCCGAACTGTAAATTTCGTTTTGAAGAATACAACTTTCCCTCTTCCATCATGGATGGCAGGACAGCTTGATATAGTTCGTATTCACATCTGTCTCGAGCGTCTGGGGAACGGCTTCGAAATGTAGTTACGCTATGAACGTAGCCCACAGCAAGCAATCCCCCTCATATAATGGAAAGGTGCTGCTGTAGAGGGAACACGTTTGTTTAGCAGTTTTTCATCTCGATCCTCTTCCTTCCAACCGCGAATCTTATTTAGTCCTTTGAGTCCTAAAGTTCACGTAAATAATATTTAAAAATTCAGTTCCTACCTCGCAGAAAACGCAGCATCTCCGTTACGAAGACAAGTTGGCCAATGATGTTTAGGGAAAGAGTGTTTTTTAATCACGTATTACCATTATTTAAAGGTAAGGTAAACGTAAAATTGTCCCTGAGCTTAATTAATCAAGTACTATGCCATAAAGACATGAGGGAGTGGAAGTGTACATCCACCATTCTTGACCTCAGCACTAGCTGGAGGTGAGTGGTCAGCTTCACGCCCCGGCCTCTTAATCCTCTGGGAAAAGACCCGGTATCCATCGGATAGGAGTCTGGGTGGGCCACAGGACCGGTCTGGACGGTACGGAAGGAAGGAAAACTCCCCTATTGGTATTCGAACCTGATCCGTCCGGCTCGTAGTCCGTTGCTATACCGACTGAGCTGTCGCAGCTCTACATAGGACTGATGTGAATCAAACTTAAGACTAACCCACCATCT